TGTGTAAGGTCACATCAGGTGGTGACTGGGAACAGGGGCAGACTAGGACCAGAAAGGTAACTTGAATTTTACCTGACTTCAGGATGGAACACAGGGCCCAGCACATGCCAGGCACATACTCTCCCACTGAACCCCACCCTCAATTCTACTTTTCTGTCTCTGACCCTCAGTTTCTCCATCATGACAGAGGGTAAGTTCATAGTGACTCTGAACAACTCCATGTATCCTTGTGAAGATTCACCAATATGCTAGGTGTGGGAGTGCTGGATTTATGAGTTGTAGCAGTCAGCTCTTGCTGTGTAACAAGTCACTCCAGAGCTCAGAAGCTTGAGACAATGGCATTTATGATCTTGTGTGGGTTGAGAATACAGGTCCAGTTCTGGTGGGCTCTGTCTCAGCGTATCTCTCCAGCTACAGTCACAGTATGGACTGGGACTTTGGTCTCAAGGATCCTTTTCCAAAGACCAGCTCCTCATAAGCTGCTGGACAGAGGCCACCTCAGTTCTGGGCCACATGAGCCTCTCCACAGAGTAGCTCTTTACATGGCCACTGGGTTCTATTAGAACCAGGGAAGCAAGAAGAACCCAAGAGAGCATGTGGACAGAGATGAAAAACAGTCCTTCATACAAAGGGGACAGTCCTCATTTCTGCCACAGTCTATTGGTTTGAACAGATCACTAGGTCCCCACCTCAAGGGGAGAAGATTACATCACAAAGTGCAGATCCCTGGGAGCCTTTCAGCTGGTCCCCAGTAACGCTCCCTGTCACATGTTTCCTGAAGAGGGTATGTGAGGCTTGTCCTTCATCCCCTTGAAGGACCACCTGTGTGGCTGAAAAGTTGCCTCCTCATCTAAACCATTCCACGTGTCCCACTGTTGGCCTCCTTTCCCTCTGGAATCATTTCTTTGTATCTGTGTGCATGTTCCTGTGTGTGCCTGTGCACATGTATGTAAGCCAGAGGTCAACCAGCATGATGTCTTTCCTCAGGTGCCATCCACCTAGACTAGGAGACACAGTCATTGGGTGGAGAGTTAAGAGTGGAGAGAGAGCTGAGCACCAGCATGTGCTCATTCAGCCTCTGCTCTCCACTGTGCGAGTGACCAGCTGTTGTAAGTGCCTGCCACCTTCTCCCCTAAGCTGCTTTTTGCCAGGGTATTTTATCCCAGCAACAGAAATGGAACTAGGAGACCCTTCCAGCTGACTTGCGGCCTCTGTTCTGTTCCCCCGTAGTGCACACACATAGTGTCAGGCCAGGCTTGATTTTATTGATAGCACAATATCTGCAAAACAACTGGGAAAATTCCACATGTACAAAATAAGGGAATATACGTAAGGAAAGGATTCCCTAGGAGAAAGGATCACAGTTGGGAAAGGCGCAGGGGCATTGGCGGATTCAGGGCCGGCACTTCCGGATCCTGGTCCCTTTCCAGGTTTGCCTCCCGGTAGGTGAACTCCCTTCTCTTTCAATGAATGACCAGCCAATAAAATAGGCTGGGGGGTGAAGGCTGACTAGTAATGGAGAGGCCCTGGGTTCCACGTTCCCGTAACTGCTATGTTTCAAACTGATGTATGTAGACACCATGTGGAAAAAACTAGGGTACCCTCGGGGCCAACAGCTCAGGCCCTTTGTCTAAGTGACCTGACCTTAAAGTGTGATCACTGTTATCATTGAAGATTGTGTCTCTTCTGAGAATGACTTCCTATTTGCTGAAAGAAAAAGAACCTTCAGGGTAGGGACTCAGGCAGTGGCCCCCACAGCCAGGGGCTTGCTTGAGTTCCCAGGGTGCTTGTGGGAGAGGAGAGAAGGAAGAGATGGAAGAAAAGGATTAAGAAAGTAGTAAGAGCTTAGTGACATGGCTGTGTTGGAAAGGCCTTTGAGACCCAGGTACTAGCCCTGGGTCCTCAGAAGTACCTGGTAAAAGGTGGGGGTTGTGGGGGTGGGGGGGTTCTGGGCTGTGCTGCAACAGAGCAGGTGGCACAGGGAGCCTGGATCAGGCTAGATCTCTGGAGCAGTGCCCTTCTTGGAGAGTGTCTTCTGAAACCATTTAATATGTGCTGCTTTATCTACAGGAGCTCAGAAATTGCAGGTCCCAGAGCCAAAATCCATGGAGCTGGGCCACTCAGCAGGTAAGATGAGCACGCTGCCTGCACAGCTGGAGGTGGGGGGACTCCCTGGGGCAGCAGGGTACATCCCCAACTCACTACCTCAGTTTTTCTGAGGCTTCCAGATGGCATGGCTCAGCCCTTATAAGTCACTCTGAGCACAGAAGGAAATGGAGGGAAAATTGTTGAGACACTCATCCACCAGGCCTGGGGGCTCTGTCCTCAGCTGCTCTGGGTTAAGATGGGGGTGCATAACAGCAACTCTTCTTGGGCACCAGAAGTTGCAGAACTGTGGGATGACAGACAGGATTGGGGTACATCAAGCAAGCCTGAGGTATAGCCCAGGGCTGGATACCTGCCAGGTTATGGGGAAAGAAGGGGAGGAGATGGGTGTGAGTCTAAACACTGAATCCTGAGGACAGAGTTTCCAGGGCTGGAAGGAGAAAGGGCAGAACTTTGGTGGAGCCCTGCCATCAGGGAGGGATTTTATGCAAATGTGGCTAGGTCAGGTGAGCTCTGAGAAGGGTCCCCAGGGTGAAGCAGGGGGTAACTGGGGCTGGCAGGTGGGGTGGGGAGCCAGCATGAGGTTCATCAGGAAATTCCTGCTTGAAGTTTTCCCAGTGACCTGAGTCACCCCAGGAAATATTTTAAATCCCTAGATTCTGGGCCTTTTCAGGGACATTCTGACCTAGGAATCTATATTTTTGGCAAGTGTACAGGTGTTTCTGATAAAAAAGCCAAGTTTAGAAAACTCTGTTCAGGGTCCTTCCAGTCTCACAGTAGCAAGAGAATCGAGGTTTACTCTGCCCACTTGACACATGAATGATGGGAGATGCAATGAGATTCCAGAAGGGCTAGATGCAGATGTCCATCTGTCTACCCATCCATCCATTCGTCCATCCATCCATCCACCCACCCGTCTACCCGCCCGTGCATCCATCCGCCCATCCGTCTGTCCACCCATCTGTCCATCCGTCCATCCATCCACCCGCCCACCCACCCATCCATCCATCCATCCATCCATCCATCCATCCATCCATCCATCCATCCATCCACCCATCCACCCACCCATCCATCCGCCCATCCACCCATCCATCCATCCATCCGTCCATCCGTCCGTCCATCCGTCCGTCCGTCTGTCCGTCCGTCCGTCCACCCATCCATCCACCCATCCACAAGTGCTCTGTTCCCAGAGTAGGGACTGGCTGGCTTCTCCCCATCATCTCCCCAGAACCTGGTCTAGTGCTCAGCTGACAGTGGTGGTGGCCTCTGCTCTATGAGCCCGAGGACATAGGACAGACTCATCCAGGCCATTGAAGTGTTGTTAACTCTGTTATAGTGACACCATCATGTGTCAACAGTTGAGAGAGTTGGAAGCGCAGGTTGGGGGACATGGCAGCCCTGAACTCTGTGGTGGAGGGTGGAACCCACCCCTGCACCAGGCTGGTCTCCCCACAAGCAGAGTTAGGCTAGGTTCTGGGTGTTCGCTCCCCTTCCCCTTTCTTCTTTTGGGAAGGACCCTGTTCCTGTCCATACAGCCTTAGCTGTCCCTAGAGTCCTTCTGCCTGGTGGCCTGCTGCTTTGGGCAAAACCCAGCAGGAGGGAGGGAAGGCCATCTAGCTCCAGGGGACAATTTTTCCCTTTGCCTTTTTTGACTAATAAAGGGACAGGGACAAAGGGTTGAGTAAGGAAGGAGAAGGATGTGAGCCAGAAAAGGGAGCAAGTTCCGCTTTCTCTGTCCACCTGCCTGAAGAAGGGCCTTCCAGTGGGGAAGAAGGGTTCCAGAGCACCCCATCGCCTTGTGACAGGAGGACCATCAGAGCAGCAAAGCCGATGCCCATACCAGCCTGTCCTAAAACACTGACTGGGGACCATCTGAATGCCAGGCAGTGAGACAACAGGCAAGATCTGCACAGTTAGAGGGAAAGATCCCCTTCTATCCAATACATGGACTAGACCCCCAAAATGCTGGGTGTGATCCCAGCACTCAGGAAGCAGAGGCAGGCAGATTTCTGTGAGATCAAGGTCAACCTGGTCTACATAGTGAGTTCTAGGCTAACTGGGGCTACGAGGAGACCCTGTCTCAGAAAAAAATACAATACATAGAATGGAAATTGGAAATTGGATCTCATTTATACACAAAGCAAAACAAAGCTATATCTCTTGTCAGAGAACTGGAGGACCCTTCTAGAATATTGTAGAAGGAAGCTGACCAAATATTTCCAGCAGCTCCTGGGGCTGAGGATGGGGAGCAGGCTGTCTGGGCACAAGCACTATTTTTCACAGTAAGGAAAAATGTGTGCATTCTATTCTTTACTATAGAAAGCAATTGTTCTCTCCACTATTACTGTAAGAGTCATCTTATCACCGAGAGAAAAAACACTTGGTTAGCCCTGAGCCAGAAAGGGAAAACCCAGGGCTGTGAGGATGTGCTGGGGAAAATGGCAATGCAATCAAAAGCTGGGGAGAGGACCACTGGGGAGCCAGAGAGGTGGCTGGGATGGAAGGCTGAGGAGGTGGGGGGCAGGGAGCAAAGACCAGGACTTGGACCCCATTCTTGCACTTTGCAGACCTATGTCTTGGCCAAGATAAGAAACACCATAGTCCTTGTGGTCCAAAGCTTTGTGTGACAACCTGCCCTGTGGAGATCTGCCCACTGACCTCTTTTCTGGTCGTTGTCACCCTCTCCTTGGGCCCCTGTATTTTCTCTGTCCCTTTCCTATCTCTATTCCCCTTCCACTCACCTTACCTGCCCCCTCCTCTCATGTTTGTCTGTGTGTCTCTCTATGTCTCTCTCCATTCCTCTTTCCCTGCTCAGGGACCACCACTTTGACCAGGACCCGCCTGAACGACAAGGAGGGCCAGCAGGACGTGGACACCTGGAGAGCTGCCCATAGCTCCTTGGATAGCTCCAAGTTCAAGTACCAGCCAAGGCATTCCCAGAGCCCCCAAGGCAGCCCCGCTGGGCAGGGCCACCCAGAGGTTCCGCCCCCACCACCAACACCTACCAGCAGGACTTCTCCGATGATGGGTTCTCAGCTTGAGAAGGGGCCATCCAGAGTCTACTCGAGAGAGGGCAGGGAGTCGTTCCAGGGCAGGGAAGAGGAAGGATCAACCTCGAGAGCCCCAGAGCAAAGGACAGTCCCTCTGAGCCGAAAGGAGAGCACCATTCCTGAAAACATCCACCACAAGTTTGGGAGCAAGATAGTGGACCAGCTGGTCTCTGAGGGGCAGGTGACAAAGCAGGGGTGCAGGCGACCAAGGGTGGCAGAAGGGCTATTCTGGAAGCTTTTATTAAAGACATAAAATACATTCTTAGCCTGCTGTGGTGGTGCACCTCTTTAATCCCAGCACTTGGGAGGCAGAGGCAGGTGGATCTCTGTGAGTTCAAGGCTAGCCTGGTTTACATAGTGAGTTCTAGGCCAGCTGGAGCTACAGGTAGAGACCCTGTCTCAAAAAGACAAAAAAATTCCATTCTTTAAACTTTAAAAAATTATTTTTTATTTTATGTGTATGAGTGTATTGCCTGCAGGTATGTAAGTGTACTTTTATGTTGTACAGTGCCTGCAGAGGCCAGAATAGGGTATAGGATCCCCTGGAACTGGAGTTACAGACAGTTGTGAGGTGCCATGGGGGTGCTGGGAATCAATCCCAGGTCCTCTGCAAGAGCAGCCTGTGTTCTTAACCACTGAACCATCTCTCCAGCCTCCAGACACATTCTTGATAATAGTCCCTGTACTAACATTAGAAAGTGGAGTTTACTGACACCTGCTGAATGCCAGGCACTGTGTGTCTCAGCCCTTCAGGCCTAACAACTGTGCAAAAGGTGGTATTACTACCTCTATTTCATACAGAGAAGTCTAAGGTGAAGGGGCAAAGGGAGCTAACCACACCACCCAGTCATGTGGGATGAAGGTCCAAAGTGCGCTGGTAGGATCTGGAGCCTTGGCTATTGCTGACTTTGTATTATAAATCTATTGTTTGAATTGGACATTTTCAGTCTGAATTGTCTCCTAAGGGAGGCTGCATTGGGTGGATAGACGACACTTATTAGGTATCAGAGACTCAGTTTGGACTGTGGCTCTACTCCTGAATGCTAGGTGACTTTGGCTAGGTTGCTTTCCCTTATTGGCCTTCAGTGTCTCTAACTGCAAAGAGAAGTAGCCAGACTAGTTCAGGCTGATAAACCCATGGCATGCCATAGCATGATTCTCCTAGCTGCATTCATGGCAGACATGACTAATCAATACCAGCATACTTTTCAATTCCTCCTCCTCCTCTTCCTCTTCCTCTTCCTCTTCCTCTTCCTCTTATTCTTATTCTTATTCTTATTCTTATTCTTATTCTTATTCTAGGTGACCATTATTTATTTGTCAGCTGAAATTTGAGATTAGATTCATCTAATCTAAGCATCCCCCCTGCTCTGGCAGTTTGAGGGGTTTTTTTTGGTCTTTTTGAGACAGGGTCTCCGTGTAGCCCCAGCTGTCCTGGAACTCACTATGTAGTCCAGGCTGGCCTTGAACTCACAGAGATCCACCTGCCTCTGCCTCCCAAGTGCTGGGATTAAAGGCACGCACCACCATGCCCGGCGAGGCATATTTTTTAAGGCCACCATCTCAACTCTCATAGCTTCTGTGTCTTGTCATCAGCCTGGTAGAGGTTATTTCTTCCTTTAAACAGAGAGTAAAACCAAGGTCAGGACAGGTGTTGCAATCTGCTTAGAGTCACAAAGCTGGTAAGTCCATGCTCAAAAAGCCCAACGGTCAGGGTCAGACTCCTCTCAGGCATCCCTTCATTTGTCATCTCAAGGACCTCACTCATTAGACAGCCCAGGGCTAGTGGGGGAGGGGTCATACTCTTAAATGCTCCGCCCCACTTGGAGGAGGCTTGTCCTGTTTGAATTGGCTGTGGTCACTCACTGCTGCTCTTGGCCTTGGGAAGACGCTATTTCTGTTTGGCCACAATTGTCCTGGCCATCTTGTTTTCCTAGGCCCAGGTCCCAAGTGCCATTGAACCAGCAAGTATCTGAGCTGAAAGATAATTCAAAGATCCTCTAGTTCTTTTTTTAAAAAAATTATTTCTATTTTATGTGTATGAATGTTTTGCCTGCATGCATGCAATGCCCATGGTGGGCAGAAGAGGGCATCAGATCCCCTAGAACTGGAGTTATGGATTGTTGTTAGCCACCATGTGGGTGCTGGAAACTGAACGCGGGTCCTCTGCAACAGCAGTGAGTGCTCTTAACCACTGAACTATCTCTCCAGTTCCAAGACATTCCAGTTCTAACCTCTACCCATGTTTTGCAAGTAGGGAAACTGAGGCCCAGAGAGGCTCCAAGCAACAGCTACTATATGTCAGAATTGGAATTCAAGTGCAGATTTCCTACCTCATATAGGCTTAGACTTGACCTCTCTGGCCTCAGTTTTTCTCTTAGTACAAGGAAGAAGTTGGTCAAAATGGAAGGCTGTGGGATGCCTTGATTGTAGGCATCAAGCCAGGGATCCGGGGCTCCCCAGTTGCATGGACTGGGGGTATCTGGCCTCCCAAGCCCTGTTTCCTTCTTGATGGTGCACACAGTGGATGCTCCATGTGCCTGGGGTCACTGCTGCTCCTGTACTTCCTGCCCACAGGGGAGGAGGTGGGGAAGGGCAGAACTTTCATCGTGTCCAGCTCCTTGCCCTTGGGGTTACAGGTTGCTGTGGAAAGGGCAAGTTGGGAGGGCGGGAACTTGAACCCTCTTTCCCATCATTTATCTCTTTTCCCTGCCTCCCCCCATCAGGCTCAGAAGGCCACTGGTGAAATCTTCGAGGACCAGAACAGGTCAAGCTCATGGCCCAGCAGGACCCAGAGCCCTGTGGAAATCTCCTCCATCTCAGACTACTATGACCTGGGCTACCACATGCGGTCTAACTTGTTTCAAGGTCAGACTGAAGGACATGGGTGGGGACTGTGAACAGTTATGGTCCCCAGGACACTAGGCACAAAAGGCCTTTGGTTGTTCACCCTAGACGGGGTCTCAGGCCCAAAGGCACAGCCCTGTTAGCACAAGGTGTTCACAAGGACCTAAGGCGTTCTCTATGGTGGCATGTCCCATGGAAATGCCAGGACCATCTAGTCCCCTGGTATGTCTGTCTTCTCTGTACAGGTGATTCAGTCTTTTGGCACCTAGGCCCTCCTGCTCTGGACACCTCTGGTTCCATAATCTTCCAGCAAGAGGCCCAGGCATGTTCCTGACTTGACACCTTTGACCACAGAGACAGTAGCAGACTTTCTTGGGTTCAAAGCTCAGCTTGGCCATTCCCTGGGTGTGACTATGGGCAGGAGCCTTCACCTCTCTGAGCCTCAGTTACTTCCTCATGCCAGTGGGTTGATTAAGACAGCGTGGTTCTTATCACCATAGTCAAGGATTCCAGAAGGATAGGCAGATGCCAGCTGTACTTTTCTTCCCTGGAGCTCCATGGTGGCATCACCTGGAGAAAAGGGATTGTGAGTTAGAGGTGCGCCATTTCTCGAAGGCTCTGTTTGGTTCATCCAGTTCTTTTTGGCTCATGGGTGCCATGAGCCCCATGTGACAGAACAGTTTGCAATCAGGTGCCTGAGACGTCTCAGCAATGTGAGGAGAAACGGGATTCACAATCTGAGCTTTCATAGCCTTTTCTCAACGTTGGTACCAGGATTCCCATGTTCTGCCTATTGCTCCTGTGGGGGCGCTGCCAGCATCTCTGTGCCCTTTCAGCTCAGCCTCACTGCCTTCCTCCCTCTTTGTCTTCCCTCCAGCCTGTCTCCTCTCCTTGGCTTGGGTCCCTGTCACCAGAGGAACCAGACACCCGTTGGAAACCTGAGTTTTTCTTTGAGCTTGGGGAAGAAGTGGCATTGTGGGAGGGAGGCAAAATCAGCTCAGGCTGTTCCGTTTGGGGTCCAGAAATTCTGCCTTCTCACTTCTCTCTACAGCATTGGTCACCAGAGTCCTTACCTACACCCTTACATGATAATGTCTACATAAGTATAAAGGAATAACATCCTTAAGAATTCATGCCCCCATCACCCAGCCTAGGCAATTTAGAAGTGTGCCAAGAGTGAGCTGGAACCAGGTCCTGCCAGCTTGAACCGGCTCACAAGGATCCATTGTTGGCTTTTCCTGAACTGATTGGCATATTAAATGCTATCTTAAACCCGAGTGGGAGCAGTCTTACTCATAGATCGGTAAACACCATGAATGAAGACTTTGGCCTGTGGCACTCCAAACACATGACTGTTGGTGTGTCCTGTCTGTGCCTCACAGTCTCCCCTCACCCCCAACCCACCAAGAGTCACCTTGGCAGTTGCAGTTGGGGGTTGGTGAGGCCCCTGTGGCTGCATGGTTGCAGGGGAAGAAGTCAGACAAGAGCTAATCTGGGTCATAGATCCTGGAAAGTCTTTTTCCTAATTGGAAAAGAATATCAATCTGGTATTGGAGACAGGGGAATGGGCTTGTTTGACTTGGATGAAAGATCACTCTAACGCTGTGTAGAGAAGAACATAGGGGAGTCGTGGGACAGCATAGGGCAGACAGGGACAGCAGTGAGACAGGGACTGAAAATATCCAGGTGGGACCAGATAGTGTCCTGGTCTGTTAGTTATTGTAACAAACACACCCAAGATAATCAACTTATAAAGAGGAAAGTTTAGCTAGGTATGGTGGTGCATGCCTGTAATCCCAGCAGTCAGGAGACAGAGGCAGGAAGATTATTGTGAGTTTGAGGACAGCTTAGGTGACTTAGTGAGTTCCAGGTTAGTCTTGGTTATAGAGCAGGACCCTTTTTTAAACAATCAAAAGCAAATCAAAACCAAAAATAGAGGAAAGGTTTATCGGCTCATGGTTTTAGAGGTTGTAGTCGGTGATTGATTGTCCTGACTTTTAGGGCCTTGGTGAGGCAGATCATCACGGTGGGGAGCACATGGTGGACGAAGTTGCTCACCTCGTGGTTGAGAAATAAGAGGGAATAAAAAGAATCCAGGATCCCATTATCCCATTGGGGCACCCACTAATGACTTAAAACCCTCACTAAGCCCCATCTCAAAGTTTCCACCAAATACCAGTAGTTCCAAACTGGGGACTAAGCATTTGACACTGGGCCTTTGGAGTACATTTCAGATTCAAATTCAAGTACTCAGTCTAAGGAGCTGGGCTGGTGCACTGCACAAATTTGGAGTGTACTCCTGTCCCGTGTGGCAGCTCAGAGGGCTCTGGTCACACAGCTCTGAAACAGTGGGAGTCTGGGTGTTTGTGTGAGGCAGAGCAGACAGAGCAGGGTAAGGAATGGAACTGGGCATGACAGGAGATTAAAGCTGATTTCCAGGTGGTTGACCTGAGCAAACTGCAGACTAGCTGCCTCACTCTGAAGGTGGGGCCATCCAAGAGGGGCCAGGGGAGCCCGGGCTATGCCCTTTTCACGCTTGCTTTGTCTTTGATACACCTGGAGTTGATTTCTGCTCTCAGTGGAAATGGGGATTCTTTTCTAATCCTTCTTTGGATGTATTTATCGCTCCTAGAGTCCCACTCTCCCCTGGGAACCTGAAAAGGCCCTGTCTACCCTCAGGTTTGCACATGCGTGAGGATTCCATTGAGTCTTATCCATCGGTCTAGTATTACACCCTGGTCCCCAAGGTATTATAAGTCCCCTGAGATCTGGTCAGACCACACCCTCCCAGTCCTCCAGACTACTGCCAGGTGAGGTCTTGAATTTCTAGGTCCTTTGCTCTTTCATAGGGATTTTAGGTCCAGCTAGTCAATTTCTGTGAAGAACTTTGGGCTTTTGATGGGAGCACAGTGACATGACACATCAGTCCAGGAGTGCTTCCCAGTGTTAGGCTAATTGATTTCTGATTTGTAAAGGTGATGTCAATAACATTTTTGTAAATTTTGTTAAAAACCTCTTCTTTTGGGTGCAGATTGAAAACGGATTTTGTTTGTTTGTTTTCATCTTGTTTTGAGACAGAGACTCACTGTGTAGCATAGGCTGCCCAGGAATTCGTGGTAATCCTCCTGACTCAGCTTCTCTAGTGCCTGAGATATGAAACTGTCTCCCCCTTAGGCAAATGATATCTTTTTAAAATTATGTTTTCTGGGGACTGGAGAGGTGGTTTAGCCATTAAGAGCACTGGCTGCTCTTGCAGAAGACCTGGGTTTAGTTCCCAGCACCCACATAGCAGCCAACAACTGTCTGTAACTCCATCTCCAGAGGATCCACTTCTTCTTCTGGCCTCCATGAGTGCCTGCATGCACAGGTGTGCTTACACATATGCAGACAAAACATGCATATGCATAAAATAAAAGGAAATAAACAATTTAAACATATATTTTATGGATCTGGGGATGTAATTCGGTGGTAAAGCATATGCTTAGCATGTTTGAGACCCTGGTCAGTCCCCAGAATTAAATATATATATATAATTACATTGAAAATTTTCGATGCTGGTATATGCAGGACAATTTTATTCATTTACCTATTTATTCGGTTATTTATTAATTTGTGGGGCTGGGGATCAAACCCAGGGTCCTGCGAATGCTAGGCAAATACTTCACCACTGAACTAGATTTCTAGCCCAACAATTTTTATTTTTGTATTCTGATCGTATACCTAGAAGCCTTTCTCAGCTCATTCATTAATTTCAATCATTACAGATTCTTTAGGACCTCTTTTGAATAATAATTACAATCATATAATTATACTTCCAGCCAGCCATATATATGCATTTATAAGTATATTATACTACATAGATATTTTTTAAATTATTCAGGCATGCTAGATAAGAGCTCTATCACTCTATCACTGAGTTAATCCCCAGCCCTCTTCTTGCTTTTTGTTTTGAGACAAAGTTTTGCTCAGTTGCTGGAGTCAGCTTTGAGGTCTTGAATTTACAATTCTCCTGCCTCAGTCTCCTGAGTATCTGAGATTAAAATTTTGTGCCACTGAGCCCACCTTATTTTCTTAATATATATTTTATTTATATATTTATATATTATTTAATGTGTATGAGTGTATTGCCTGCATGTACCATGTGCACCATGTCGTACAATGCCCATGGAGGTCAGAAGAGGGAGTTAGAGTCCTCTGGAACTGGAGTTAACGAACAGTTGTTAGCTGCCATGTAGATGCTGGGACTCAAACCTGGGTCCTCTGCAACAGCCGTCAGTGCTATTAACCACTGAGTCATCTTTCCAGCTCAGCCCACCTTATTTTAAAAATAATTTTGAAGATGCTTTGTATTAAGTTTAGGAGTGTCCTTTTTATTCCTAGTTTGCTATTATTATTTATTATTATTTTATTATTATTTTGAATGAATGTTGAGTTTTGTTAACTATTTTTCCTGCTGGTTTTCAGATGATCCCAGGCTGTTTGTTTTTTCCTTTTCATATGTTAATGTGGTAAATCACATACACTGTTTTTTTTCATATCAAACCAGGCCTGTTTTCTTGCATCCAGACCAGATTATGCACACTACATATGTTAACTATAAAAACTGCCATGCCCCCAAAAGTGTGTGTAAAAAGGGAACCCAGAGATCTGTGAGGAACCTCGGGCAGCTCCTGGGGAACCCTGAGGCACTTCCTGTCCTTCTGGCCCTCCAAAGAGCTGTCTCTCTCCCTGAGTTTGACTTTTATAACCTTTAGTTCCTAGGCAAGAATCCATAAACAGTATTAGAAAGCAAGGGCAGGCACGATGGCTCAGTGGGTAAAGGCACCAGCCACCAAGCCTGATGACCTGAATTTGACTACCAGTTTAGACACGGTGGAAGGAGAGAACCAAGCTGTGCTCTGACCTGCACCGTGGAACATGCAGGCGTACACTTACACACATGCAGGCATAGCACAAACACACATAAATAAAAATAAATTTAAAAAAAAGTATCTAGTAATGTCGCCTGTTTCCCAAGTAAG